AAGACCCCGACGAATGGTTTGCCATAGAAAGATCCTAATTTAAGAGGAATGTGATCCCTTCGCGCTCCCTGAAACTTGTTCGAGCATCGCCCCCGCACAAGCCTAGTGCAAAGAGGCTTGACCAAAAACTTGTCGGAAGCAGAATGGAGACAAACCACGTCAGTCGACAAGAGCAAGGAAAAAACTGTAGGAAATATGCCCTAGAGGTAATCATGTGATGACGTTGTTTCCATATGTATTCACGAATTATTTGTATTGTCCTTCGACATCATCACTAATATGTATCAATAATTATGATGATTGTTCTAATGGTCCCTAGTTGATAAGGTTACTCAAAAAAAAATCCTTTGACTAGTATATGACTCAGTTGCTTACTATGTTTCATAAGTCATGGGCATAGAGATGCCAACCCGGTACTGTGAACTTTCACTGAGTTGGACAGATCCACATTGAAACGCAACAAGATATTGTCATCTGTTTCTCTCAGGCGCATTATATGCCATGTTTACACCTGACATCCTCACTTGTTCTTGTGATGAGGACCGACTGACCTATGGTCTATCAAACGCTACTCCATAACTATATAGTTATTAAGTTAGCTTTCGGATTAGACATGGTTGATCGAGATGGGATTTGACCCTCCGACTTAGTATTGATATTCAATGGGCCCTCCTGAGTGATCAATTTCGGAAAGCATAGTCATGCGACTTGGGTTAAGTGTTAGCCTAGTTCGGAAATCTGTATAATAGCTTGACAACACATACAAGGAGGCAAAAGAAATATTGCATATGACGCGTTGTCAAGGTTCATCACTATGACTTTGTGAACACTTGGAAGTTGGCATGTTGTGCTAAGATCCGCAACCATTGACTCAGAATGTGTCCATGTGTATGTGAACCTATTGGGTTCTGCACTTAAAGGACAGGAACCCACTCATATTGGATCCGAGTGGAATTGGGCATAGAATCCTAATGGGCCTCATGAAGGAAATATGCCCTAGAGGCAATAATAAAGTTGTTATTTTATATTTCCTTATTTCATGATAAATGTTTATTATTCATGATAGATTTGTATTAACCAGAAACTTGATACATGTGTGAATACATAGACAAAACACCATATCCCTAGTATGCCTCTACTTGACTAGCTCGTTGATCAAAGATGGTTAAGTTTCCTAGCCATGGACATGTGTTGTCATTTGATGAAGGGGGATCACATCATTAGGAGAATGATGTGATGGACAAGACGCATCCGTTAGCTTAGCATAATGTCGTTCAGTTTTATTGCTATTGCTTTCCTCATGTCAAATAAATATTCCTCAGACTATGAGATTATGCAACTCCCGGACACCGGAGGAATGCCTTGTGTGCCATCAATCGTCAAAACGTAACTGGGTGATTATAAACATGCTCTACAGGTGTCTCCGAAGGTGTTTGTTGGGTTGGCATAGATCGAGATTAGGATTTGTCACTCTGAGTATCGGAGATGTATCTTTGGGCCCTCTCGGTAATGCACATCATATGAAGCCTTGCAAGCAATGTGACTAATGAGTTAGTTAAGAGATGATGCATTACAGAACGAGTAAAGAGACTTGCCAGTAATGAGATTGAACTAGGTATGAACATACTGACGATCAAATCTCGGGCAAGTAACATACCGATGACAAAGGAAATAACGTATGTTGACATTGCAGATCAACTGATAAAGATCTTTGTAGAATATGTGGGAATATGAGCATCCAGGTTCTGCTATTGGTTATTGACCGAAGAGGTTTCTCGGTCATGTCTACATCGTTCTCGAACCCGTAGGGTCCGCACGCTTAACGTTTGATGATGATATGTATTATATGAGTTGTATGTTTTGGTGACCGAAGGTTGTTCGGAGACCCGGATGAGATCACAGACATGACGAGGAGTCTCGGAATGGTCAAGAGGTAAATATTGATATATTAGAAGGTGGTATTCGGACACCGGAAGGGTTCCGGAGTGTATCAGGTACATACCGGAGTACC